ATCAATCCATGAAATTGCACGACCATCTTCCATTGTACCGAGGTAGATACCTGTCTCTACCCGACACGGATTGATTGTTTCCTACTGTGTTCTTATTCACATGTTGTTCATCATGTTTTCTTCCATATCAAGGCATTCACTAATGAAGGAGTTTTAAAATATACCCTGACAAGAGCTCCAATAGAAATAAAGTATACTTACTATCAATGTATTCATGACTTGGTCACTAAATAAATTTCTTTTCTTTTGTTTTCTCATAAATATTTTATTTATAAATTTACATTTCTGAATTAAATCTATTTTATGTATTATATAAGACATTTTGCTATTGAGGAGTATTTTCTTAGTTGAACGAATTAAACTAAATGATCTAATTATTAAAATTTATATTATTTTACTAAATAATACTGTTAATATATGAAGTGTATAGAGAAGGGAGTCGTTAGATTTATCTTTATAAATAAATTATAGTATATTTAGTGCCAATAATGAATTGAATTGATCCTTACCATTGTAGTGAAAGGAGAACACGGGTGAGCACAACCAAATCGTATTTAGCACAACTTACAGAATTACTTGGTAAAATAGAAAAACCATATAGTAAATCGTTAAGTTGCAAACTATTATTCCATCATATCAAACCGGACTGTTGTTGTTGCAAACATCAATCCATTGTCTCACATTTCATTGTTCATGCGATTTCTTACAAATTCCATTGTGTTCTCGCTCTTCCTTTCTTGATCTTCTCCATCTTCCGCTGCTAGGCATTACGTTCTTTTAACTCACGTTATATAATATTTATATCAATATAAGTAGCACACACCGCACCATGACTAGACACCTAACGTTTATATTGTACATGTTACGTTTATGTATGTATATATTTTAAATTAACCTTCTGTTTGACATTAACTTAAATTGAATGCTTATAAATGGTAAATGTATTCATGTACATTCACATAAAGTTTTCAGGCGAGACTCTGATTGATGGACGGCCTTTGAAGGAATCTTTAGCGAATTTGGGAAATATTAGCCAATCAGCAAGCAGTAACTATGGAGTAAAAACATGTTATAAAAAATCAAGGAAATATAGTGGATATACTTCTTATACCTGGTTCAAAATCTTGTCAAGGTTAGAAAGAGGTTCACAGGTTCTAAAATCGTAATGCATGCAATAGAGGAAATCATTCATACGGCTACAGAATAGTCGACCTCTGGAGCCATGACAAAGTCTCAAAAACTCTTTCAGCCTCGACCACATAGCTTCAATATTGTTTATGTGCACTCCGATTGTTGAGTGCACAAAATGCTACTTGTGGATAACGACACGATGCACATAACGAAGCTTATGTAGGAGTCTGTACGCTCTCCAAGCATCCGTATATATTGTAGTACCTGGCTGCAGCCAGTGTTACTGGTGCTTTTATTATCCAGTTCGCAATAATTGTCATAATTTATTTTAGTTATAAATTATATATGGGGTTTTCATCACGAACTGACATAAGCTATAATTCCAGAAATTTATTTAGCCAAATGGATGAAAGGCTTTCGCGTTAAAATCCGAGATCTATTATCTTATACCTGATTGATTCGTCCACAAATTATAGTCTCGCCGTTTTATTTGTTATAACCGCTAAATTATCACGTTTGTACAAAATTCCCTGCGAACCGATCGTACGTTGGCATTAAGCACTGAAGTTGGCGCCGTAACCTTGAAATCTCTAAAACGCCTCTGACTGGCTCGTCCGTAAATTAGTGTCTCGCCAGTTTTCAATCTATTCATTTTACCGTTAAATAATGAAGGATTCAGTCGGAAAAGCGAATTATTGGGTTAGTTATTCTATGCTTTAAAGAAATAAGAACGGAGTACATTGGAATTTATTTATTCATCGTTATATGATAGATGGAAAAAAAAGTAGTTGTAGCAGTTAATCTGATAGAAAGACTTCGTAATTGAGAATAGGTAGCAGATACTGACTGTTGGAAAAATCTTCACATGGTTTAAATCTTGAATTAATGCTAATTAGACCACCATTAAAAATATGGAAGCACTGGACAGGCGTTTCGTTCCAATATGAGACTCCTCAGTAATGCATACTAAACCCAAACTATTCGGTCTCTCGAGCAAACGCTAAAACTCCAGACCACTGATTTGGCATCAAAAGTTATGCACCCTAAACAATTCACTACATTACGTGACCATTTTCCATTGTCTGAGGTGTAAAACTGCCTAACACTGGACATATACACCGTTGATGTCAGCTAAGTGGTTTAGAGATGAAGTACTTTTGCGAGAGACTGACAGTTTTGAGTTCGATATTTGAATACAGGGTCGTGAATATGCAATGTTGAGGAGTCAAGGACGAAACGGCTTTCCAGTGATATATCCGTTTCCAGATAATTACAATTTAAATGTATCTAAATTGAATTTCATCATATTATTGCACAATTGATGACGAGATTTTCTTACTGCAACAGTGTTTACAATACTGAATAAGAAAATTGCCGTTATTATAAAAAGGTTGTCTTCTTTTTGTCTACTTTATAATGAAACCACCCCATATTCAAGGAATTCAACTTCGTTAGAACTTTTTTTAAAATAGTCAACATCATCTTAAAATCATATCTTGTTTGTCTTAAGGTAGTTTGCTGATAGGACATTTTATATTGTTCAGAAGTAAACCTATGTGGTTCGTCTGATCATCTCAATCAAAAATTTAAGACGATAGGTTACGTCACTTAGAATCAATCATATCTGTATAGATGTATTCAATATCTGCCTTATTTATATATCCTTAGTTTCGAAACCACTTTATTCTTTTTTTCTGGCAGATTTATTCGTTCTTCTAGAATCATATCAATTATCCCTAGCTCTATTTTACTAGCAATGATACTGTTACTACTTCCATTATTACTGTAGGAAATTTGTCTCGATAATTTCATTTCGCTGTAATAATGTGGTGTGCCACTTTGAACTGATAGACATATTTGTCGAATTCCACGTTGGTGATTACCAACTAACTGACTGATCGACAAAGTATAATTAACTCAGTTGGGAAAATATGAAAATCTAAAATGTTTTTTTTATAATCACATAAACAATAATCAAATTAAAGTGATTAATTTGTTGAAATATGTCCAGTTTTTGACATTTTTATCGAGGCGTATTAAGAGCTTTGAAAAAAAATTATTTTAATGTAAACACACTAAGTAACCTCAAGAGTTAAGTGTACCACTGAAATTCTTTTAAAACCGTATGCTTTTTATCAAGTTGATAGTTACACGTACTGATAGGCAGTCAGTCAGTAACAATGTAGAACTTCGAACGTACGTACATCAGTTCGAGTTGCCATACCACGTACACGTACTGATAAGACCTAGTAAATATGAATTATAAACGAGTTTTATCTATAGTGATTACATTGTATCTTTTTTACAGTGAGCAGACTTCAGTTACCGCCTAGAAGTTCTTAAGTACACTAGTCTTAATCTTAAAAATCATCATATCAACAAGCGAAATTAGAAATATCCCTTTAAACATTCATACATGTGACTATCTAATGATATTTTAAATATTTGATTTATGCTTTATAACACTGGGGACTTTAATCAATTAATAACAAATCATATTTTAATTATTAAAATTTTAATGAAACAATGACAAAGAATTACCATAAACCGTCTACATATTATAATCAGTTAATTTATTCGATTATAATTGTCAAACAGTAATGTAATATCAGAAAGGGTTTTTTATAGATATTATAGTAATTTTATAGTTGAGATCATGAGTCACTTCTAGCATGACCTCCATGCAAAATCTGGAAGCACTGGACGGCCGTTTCGTCTTATCTTGAAGTTTTAGTGAGAAGCGGTCACCAGTGGAGTTCAACCGGGTCTGTTGTGAAATAGTAAGTCGCTGAAGACAATTGTGGACGTGTGACTCAATTTCGTGGACTGGTTGAAGTCATACATTAATACCGTTGGATGCCGGTCGACTCAGTCGTCTAGGGTTTAAGCGTTTGTGCACGAGACCGATAAGTCCAGCTTTCGATTGCCGCGTGGCGGGATCATGGATGAACACTGCTGAGGAGATACATAATAGCACGAAACGGCCATTCAATGCTTACAGGTTTTCCATGGTGGTTTAGCTTCAATTAACTCATGATTTCAACTATTAAAGCAATATAATATTTAAACAATTTAATACTGAAATTAATTATTTTAATCTTATAGTAAGCAATACCGATATTTATAATTCGTAACTTTACATTTGAATCTTACAATTAAATTAAAAACATATATCACAGCAGGTATGAAGGTATTCGGCGCTAAAGTCACTAAATCTATCATGAGTTAAAAAATGTCAATGGCAGTTCATTTCTTTACATAGTGAAATGTTATTAACTGTTGAATCTTATGATGTTTTTTGGCTTAAATGTTACCTTAAATTATATGTTATCTTTTAATTCCAACGAAAGTTTCATCCCATTTTAGACTCATCAGTTAGATGTACTTGCTAAATGTTAACTAATTTTAATAAGAACTTGTGACTAAATAAGCTGTTCATTTAGGATGGACGTATCTCAATAGAGATTAATCGGTTGTAACATCCATAATACTAACAATGAGAAAATACAAATATAATCAAACTTTTAATTCATTTTTGTATTGTTTGTTTGAATCTTCTCATTGATGTTTAGGACTGAAATTGATCAGTCTTTTGTTAGTATTAGGTTCGAGTTCCTGAGTGAAAATCATCTTTGGAGTGCAGGTACATCCAGCTGATGAGTTCAAAACAGGACAAATTGCGCATCCTGCATTTCATCGCTAGCCACCATCCATCTTTGCTTATAATCAAACTTGTTTTTATGTTAAGCTAATAGAAATAAACATGATGTAAACAATTAACAATGTTTATATTTTAAAATATTTATATCAATATAACATTTATTGGTTGATATAGTTAGATTTCGGTTCGCTATTTGGATACATCACTGTTAGAAGACAAACGGAAGGTTCTCTGTGAGTAACAAAATATGCGCATAAACTCTGAAATAGAGAAGAATATAGAAACAGATAAAAAATAATGAACAACTTTAAAAGTAGGCAGAATGCATCGAAAATCAATATCCATAATAATAAGTAATTAGTATGCATAAATATGAATTCTAGACAACTCAATGATTAAGACGGAGAAAGTAGATTTTTCTGGAATGATGTCATTTTTAATGGCTTATTAAAATTTAATCAATAAAATTTGATTGGTACAAAAGATCAAACAAGTATAGCACTGGTTACTTCTAACAAGTTATCAGTTAGTATTTAAACGTCGTGATTCTATTTGAGGTCATACATGGTCTAAACAACGTTATTGTTATATTTCTGATCCTTAAAGTTGATGGAATGGGTTTGATTTCAGTGTTAGTTATTAGTTCCAGACAAAGTTGAATCTACACTTTGCTGATGAACGTTTATTGTGATGATATCTAGGTCAACCAGGGCTTCCTATCGATTGTCTTCAACTGCTGAATAAAAACTCACATTGAAATGGATATAGTATATCTATTTTATTACAATTTAAATGAATAATAAGTTCGAGTGACCTATTATTATCACTACAAAACTGATATATTTGTGTACATAGAAATATACAAAACACTGAAGATATATTGGACAGGACAGGATTGAACAATACTAGGTTACAAGTGTCTTCCAACTCTTTCCCTCGATGACAAACAAGAGAGAAGTCGATGATAGTTATAATGAAAAAATATATTTAATTCTAGGCAGATTTAGTGGAATATTAAACATTAAAACTGATTATCTAAAGAAAAAGACGAGTTTCATGTTTGATTTTGCTATGGTTCGGTGGTGATACTTGACCGAATGCCTCTGGCTTTTAGTTTTTATTAAAACTACCAAGGTTAATATCAATACTGAGCATTTACACAACCATCTATTTTAGAGTTATCTACCACTACAATTGTATTAATCATCCGTATGATTATTATTTAGTACTTCTCTAAGATTAAAAGTTTTAATCAATAGAAATATGCCATTCTACCAATCAAATGAGAATGAGGAGTAACTAGTTACCTAATGTACTTGACATCATGTGCACTGTATTCAAATGCAAGTTATTTGTAGGTAGTCAACTGTGAAGTTGCATAGCTTGAGATCTAACCATAAGGTATACCGATTCTGTTAAGATTACAAATGTACTTTACTGACGAACAACAAAGAATTACAAAACGAAACATTGATCGATCAAGATTTCTTATCGACTATTCTCAACTATTTAATATCTATCTTTTTTTCTTTCCATATTTTCTTAAAATTAAAATCATATTCTTAATGTATCAGACATTACTGAATACTTTTCATAAAGTATGTTTTTAAAAATTACTTGTGATTATTAATTTATGTCAATAATATCACGAAATCTTATATCTTACTTCCGTAACTAAACAAAAAAAAATTTTTTCTGTAAAGATATTTCATGCTTTAGTTACTATACCTAAATATGTTGCCATGGCAACAAATTTATTTAATAAATATTTAATGAAACAATTTCTAATTATGAATACATTAAATTAATTAAAATATGATTTTTTTGTCTCAAGTAGTTGATAAGAGTTATATTACTGTTGAGTAATATAATGATTTTAAATCATTATGAAGAAAACCCTATTATTGTAAAAAAAGAAAAACAAATCACCTAGAAATATATGGTATAGTTTGGTTCGAGCTTATCCTTCTTCAAAGAAATTATTAGAAATCAATTTCAATAGATGAGTTTTGTGGAAATCAGCCTATTCTGAAGATGTTATTCATTAAAGATTGATCTCATTTATGTTAAACTTGAAAACCAAATATATTAAACGAACATCTTGTTTTAGTATGGGATTCTTCAACAATGGAGATCTAATAAACTACTAGAGATCTAAACCAAAACTTCCATTTCTCGTAGCTAGTGCTTTATCATCAAACTACCGAATTGTTATCTAAAGGTACATATTTTTAACTTCAATCAAATCGCAATACAGTGCATTGAAAATTCAATGATTTTAGTGTCTATTGTTTTACATCTGATATGTCTAGATTACACTAAAGTTCTAATGAATAAGCATTCGCTGAGAGAATTAAAGGTTCTAGGCTTGATTAGAAGTGGGTTTGTAGATATGCACTTCTTAGAAATCATAGATCAAAATGAAAGATTTGTCTAATTTTATTTACAGATTGAACTCATGAGTCAGTTGAAGCTAGACCACCATTGAAAACCTGGAAGCACTGGACGGCCGTTTCGTCCTAGTATGGGACTCCTCAGCAGTGCGCATCCACGAGATAGGAACTCACTGAAGACAATGGTGTACGGTAGCGCAACTTCGTGGATTGGTTGAAGTTAGACGTTAACACCGTTGGATGCCGGCTCAGTGGTCTAATGGTTAAGTGCTCGCGCGCGAAGCCAGTAGGTCCTGGGTTCGAGCCCCGGGTGGTGCGGGGTCGTAGATGCGCACTGCTGAGGAGTCCCATACTAGAACGAAACGGCCGTCCAGCGCTTCCAGGTTTTCAATTGTGGTCTAGCTTCAACTGACTCATGAGTTCAATCTGTGAAAATTTCTAAAAATCTCCACAAAACACATTCTGATAATAATTTTATTTAGTTTCATATGATTACATTATATCGGGCATAGTTTCATTGCTAAGTACCGATATCAATCAAGAGAAAAAAAGAATTACTTGATTGTATAATAAATAACGCACCCATCTCGATTCTAAATATAACATTACATAGTAGCCAACACTGGACAACTTCAAGCCACTAGATGGACATACAGTGGTTTATATTTCCAACATCATTCATTTCACCGGATAACTACATAAGTTCTGCTAAGAAGACGTAGTTAGTGAAGTTCAACAACCTTCAGGGTTAGAAAAGTCAGTCCTCTGAAGGTCAGACATTTGCCATGAAGTGTGCCACTTTTAATCCCTAGAAAGGTTGTCCTATCGGAAAAAATAGCTGTTCAGTCAATGCTGTTCTTTATTGCTTGTATAACCGAATTCAGTACTTGATATTAGAGCTTGGTATCAGCTATTTTCATAACATCCAAAAGTTACACCCATCATATTTTATCGTATCAAGATATTTTGGAGCGTAATTCATAGGTGACCAAAAACACTTTTCAGCATAAGGTTGAAGAGGTTGTTGGGTTTTGTTGAGAACACGAACCCATCAAATTTAGGCAACCAGCGACAAACCTGGAAGCATTAGATGACTGCTTCATCCTAGTACGCTACTCCTCAGCAGTGCACATACACGATCCTTCAGGCAGGAATCATACCTAAAATTTTAGGACTCATATGTCGTGATAATTGGAGTTCATCCATGTCGAATAGGAGGAGAGTATACGCTGAGAACAATCGAAGATCGTCACGCAATATCACAAATCGACTAAAGTTATACATGCACACGATTGGATACCGATCCAGTGATCTAGAGGTTAGGTGTTTGTGCATGAGACCGAAGGTCCTGGGTTCGATTCCTGTATGTGCGGTCGTGGAAAAGCTGCTAAGAAGTTCCTATTAGGACGAAGCGGTCATCCAGGACTTCCACGCTCTCACTGATCATCTAACTTAAGTAGTTCATGATTTCAATGAAAAATACTTTTATTATACGTTTTACACTGAAACCATATTATAACTTGACAAATTCAGTTAGATTTATCGGATTTTACATTAAATATCAATCTATTTACTTTTTCGTAAAAAGACAAATAATAATAACGTTTCTATTCAACATGTTATCATCAATGAGAACTTCCACCAAACAATAATTCAATGCTGTCAAATTTCTACTGATTCCCTTTAATCAAATTAGTTCCTCGTTGAAAATTACTACTATTTTTTACAACATCACAACTTTTTCATTAGTGAATGATTTCATGATTGATTTTACGATACTCTTTACGCGGGAGGTACAATCTGTGTTGTCAGTTAACAGATTTGAGTGTGAAATAATAACAACTCAACAGTGGATCTGATTACCAGTGTTTTATGAGAAACTGACTTGATTAAGCCGTCAAATGGTAAATAGTTAAACAAAAGCTTTGAATATTATGAAACAGTTCAAACTATGGTAAAACAATTGTCAAATGCTATATAATTTTCGGTACTCCTGAAGTTCATGTCACGTCATAGTGAATTTTACTTTCAATTAATGCTGACAGGAAAAAACATTTGACTTGAAAATATTTTCTCTTTACATGGTTATACAGCCATCAAATAGTGCAGGTCATTTAGCTTCATTGTAATATATGATTCTCCAACAGTGTAATTCTCCGAAGTCGAGAAAATGGTAGTGTTGAGTAATTATATATATATATATATATATATATATATATATATATATATATATATATATATATATATATATATATATATATATACAGAGAGAGAGAGAGGGAGGGAGAGGGAGAGGGAGAGAGAAAGACTATGTTAAATATCAGAAACTACCCACGGATGACAATGGTATATGTTTGCTCAATATCGTGGGTCGATTTAAGTTAGACTTGTACACCACTGGATACCAGCTCAACATATTATTACTGGTAAGAATATAAAAACGGTTTGAAACTTAAGATTTCAGTTATCTCAACAAACTCGCTTATACTTATATATCTAATTACCTAACATTATCAACTATGTGAGATAATATTACTTCAGTCTATCCAGAAAGTGGAGATTATATGAGATTTTAAACTTTTGCTTTACAACATCTTAGAAGCATTTTTAAAAATTATAATTTAGTGCCTGTTTTATTGACAACTGTCGATAGGTCTTTAAAAAAGTCTTTAGAAACTAGAAATAATAGATTAGTGTGTAGTTTTCAACGTGATATTGTTTAATACTTACTACTGATAGAATTCTATCAATTAGATTTATAGTGTGATCACCAGGCTTTAGTAACTCAATACAATACAGTGCATATTATTTGGTAGAAGTATCCAACAGAAAACTGTAAATTAAAGTGTTTTTTTCGTAGGAATTGAAATTTCCAATGGGAAATACCAGTTGTCTCAGTGTCGCGAATACGTTTTTTCCCATAAAACAAGTCTTTTTCAGGTGTGCTTTTTTAATGTATAAACATATAACCGTCTGATCATTGTCAGAAATCAATTTAAAATTATTAGATTTTACAAGAAATACCCGAGGTTGTAAACTATTTTAAGGAATACCATTTAGTTGCTGAGTAAGATTTACGATAAAGCTACCAGTAATGGGTTAGGGAGTTCGTTGAATTTTATTGAAATCATGAACTGATCAATGGTAGATCTCTTTATGGATTTCAAAAAAGCTTTATTCCAATGTTAGGTCACCACTGGAAACCTGGAAGCGCTGGACGATCGCTTCGGCCTGGTATGGAACTCCTTGGCACTGCACATCTACGGCTATACACATCAGAATCGAACCAAGGACCCTTAATCTCGCGCAAAAAACACCCAACCTCTAAACCACAGAGTCGGTATCCGATATGATTGTACTTTACTGGTCAAAGCATCTCTAATTTCCTTCCGAAACTAATGACTAGTGAGCACATTATAAGATGGTGGTTAGAGATAGTCAACAGGAAACCCTGAACCCGAGTTTCGTACTACTTGGCATTCGTCAGCAAGTTGTACCTGTAATCTTGAGGGAGCTGATGCTCCTTGACGGATTCGATCTCATGTCACCCAGCTTCACAGTCAGAGACGTAACCACTGAGCTATCCGGGCCGCGACCGACCTCCTGTAGGACTGACACACAACACATTGATCACCACCTAGTGATCAATCAATTGTGATTATATCTCATGTTCTACGACAGTCTATTTACTTCGATATTACTGATCACCAAATATAAATAATGCATTTATTCATCAACTTAAACTATCATTATTTACATGAAAGAATAAAATAACTCAAAACTCAATTATTTAATCGATATTATAATCCATTCACTTCTAAAATAAACTAGATATTTTGTCTCAGCACTTAAGCAAATAACACTTTCCATTGTAGTCATTGTACACTGAATAATAATGTGACCAGGAAAGTGTGAATTAACTGTGTATTAAGAGTATCGTAAAGTTTACAACATCTCCAGATCTTCATTTTCTATTGATTATAGACTGTTGTGAAGATTTTTTAATTATAAATTTTAAAAATACGAATAGAATGTAGTTATGGAACTACTGAGGAATAGTAAACACTAGACAACTATTTCCTCCTAGTATAGAGCTCATCAACTATATGCACTCACGACTAGAACCGTTTGCCTTTTTGATGAGCACATAAACTTTGGAATATTCAATTGATACCCAAATGTTTGTATTTCTGATTTCATTTGATTCGTTACTAGTTTTGTGACCACCTTACAGAGATAATTACCTAAGTCATGGTGAAAAACCATGTTAGGTGTTGTTTAAATAAGCCACGCATCGAACAGATGTTATCGGTAAAAATCAACAGTGGTCGCATAATATAATTAATTAACGGAAATTAGGAATGCGAACTATTGGATAGTAACTCATTGTCCTGAAGGTTAATCGTTTTCACGAGGCCTGGAAGTCTTGGTTTCGATTTCTGATTAATTTATTGATGAATACTGCTGGATAGTATCATTCTATGTCGAAAAAGCTATCCATTTCTTCTTTGTCTTCAGTGATTGTCTAACGATATTTAGTCTGTATTGTGTGACTTCTTGATCCTATTTGAAGAGATTTTTTCTACCACAAAATGATGTCAGCTGGAAAATTAACTTAAGAATTAAAGAACACCGATTGGTTGCCTGATCCTGGCTTTACACTATACAAAAATGTTCCCATACATAAGTAATTAGGAGATCAGAACCACAAATTGAAATTCTTACTATGAATACAATTTGAATTTAATTTTGTATAAGGCTTCAATAATTCATAAACATAACTTCAGAATTTTAACTACGAATCGTGACTATTAATGGTTTTTTGTAGAAGCTTATCAACACTAAAAGATCAAACGAACACGACAGTGGTCTCAACTCAATGAACACTCCCTACATACTATCTCAGCTCTTCACGAAGTCAACCGAATCCTGAATATCTTAGTGATGATGGGTTAGTCTGTGTAAACAATTAATGTAGGTTCGAATCCAATAGTCAATATAAAATTTACAGCTGTGCATTACTAAAGTGTGTCTACTAAGCGAATTTTCCAGTTAACTGTCCCATTGGCTGTCTATGGAATATATACTAATACTGATCTTTTACAATTTACAATTCAAAAGCTTATCCCTACCTAGACTTGTATAAATCAATATCAGATCCATAACAGTCTTACCCGTTCTAAATTGTAGTCACCTGATATCATGTTTTTACTTGATAGTGATTGATTATAAAGAAGAATTTCGGGTAACTACAATGTACAATTAAACAATGGTTGTGGAGAATCGACTACACATTAGTAATAACGATAACCATGGTAATAATATTAATAATAGTACTCGCTGTATTCATTATCGTTTGACTTAATACATTAAAGTAAGTTCAGTAAAAGAATATGTGAAGATCTTACACAATCCACATGATAGGCATGTATTTTCCTTCTCGTTTGTTCTTTAGAGAAACGAGATATAATTATTATAGTATAATTATTTACTCAAATATACCATACGATAAAAAGGGTATCATAGTAACAAGATTGATCGTAAACAGTTGCTACTGAATATTAATTTCAACAAATCACTTTAAAAATAATTTTAAATATATTTCGTTTATATTACTCACAAGTTCAATGTTTCTAGTAAGAGAATATTGTTGCATATCATATGCTGAGAATACCTTACTGCATTCAAATGCACAGCATTAGATGAATCGAGTATTACTATTATTATTATTAGTAGTAGTAGTAGTAGAAGTAGTATACAACTCAGTTCATAAAATATAAATTGCTTACTTGTTATTAAACATAGATATAATGCAATCTTCATTTGTTTCCACTTCATAGCTTTTCATTATGAAAATATTTCATTTGATTACGTTATTTTCGTCATACGATCTAGAGGAAAGAATCAAGATCAATTAATCTCATGTTTATAAGTTTACAAATGATTGCATAGATTTTTTTCCAGGCGATTTTATTATAAGTTGAAACCAGTTGAAGTATTGTTTGAAACTGGTGACCATTAGGTAACTATTTCATTCTCATATGAAACTCTTCATTAATACTCACTTATAACTCTTTCAGGTATCATACTCAAAGGTTACATGTATCGCAGTGAGCACTTGAACTTTTAACCACTTAGTTGGAATTCAATGGTATATATATCTAAATTCAATTAATTTCTCAGTAATCCTTTGTTTTATTTAAACAACCATAAGATATTAATCATAGTTTTTAAAAAAACTATCAAAACGATAGATCATTAATAATAATAATAATAATAAACTATTAATTTCTTAGGGAGCTTTTTGTTAATCTACCTCTTAAGTAGCCAGAATCACGAGAAAAGCATTTCTTCTCTATTTTCTATTGAACTACATATTGTGAATGAATGAATGAATGAATGAATGAATGAGTTACTGAATGAATAGATAGATGGATAAATCAAAGACAGGCTATAGACTGATTATACCACCACCTACCATTTATATACAGTTAATACTCTATAGAAGGATTTTTCCTGACGACAACAACAACAACAATAAAAAAAGAATCAATAATAATATCATTGATTAAATTCATTATATTTATTTCAACTTATAAACAGATAACAAGTACAAATGTATATGAATGTATTAAGAAAGAGAGTAAAACTGTCAAATGAATACTAACTAAATATATAGAAATATATAAGAAAACAAGCATTCACTCTCCTTTTTAAATCATTTGTATTGGTTATAATCAGACATACTTTTTTCTTGTATAAAACTCATTCTTCTCAGGTTTATTACATTGAAGAGGTAATAAAACATAATTTTAATCAATTTTTTATATTAAGGGATAATAAGGTAACTAACTATCATAAGAAGGTGGTAAGAGATAATAGGAATCACATTGAAAAATCACTTTTATTTGATTGGTTAAATGAACTAGGCATTAATATTCACTAAAACTAAAATAAAAACGGAAGTGATATGAATTTTAAGTCTATTAGTTAGTTGATTAACCAATAGATGAATAAATTGAATTTCTTCTACTGTAACCTATGGGAAAGGGGAGTTACCATAGTTTCTATTAAATTACGAAGAATAAAAAAACGAAAATCAGAATCAAGGCGAATTTTAGTCATTTTTTCCCTAAAGAGATTATTTTATCTAGAGGGAAAAATAGTCTTTGATATATGCGTGTGTGTGTGTGTGTTTTTTTTTTAGATGCATGGAACAGTGATGTGTACGTGTGTATAAGTAAGAGAGATGGAATATTTTTACTAGGGATATATTTGTTCACATTATTTCTGGTAGACTAAAGTTTATGAGTATTCATGCATTTTATCCAATCGCACTTAGATGATTAGGGCGGAAACAGAAAGTTCCACTTCTGTAATCACAAAAGCTTATAATATTATATGTTAGAAATTAACTGTCTTTGTTGGACGGAAGGAAGTTGATAGATTGTGCATACAGAACAGATTCTTGATCTTTCTGAGGGTAATAATAATAATAATATAGAGTGCTTATTATTATTACTATTACTATGATTATTATTAGTATGTGTGTGTATTGAACGAAAAATGTTATCAAATTAATGTTAACTAACGGAAGGAAATTTGTGTTAAACTTCTCTTCAATATATTCAATGAAGCACCGTCTAGACTTGGATTCCTGTTCCGTTCTACTTCTTAACAGGAAAAAAGTGTATCTATCTATCTAAGAGAATATATAAAAATATCTATTGGATAATTACAATTTTCCTTTCTACTCATTCATACCTCAAAGATCCGGATTTATATTTATGTTTTTTAAATATGTATTGTACTACTACACGAATAAAACTAGGATTCGTTCCGCCCGATTTGATTAGTGTATTGTAACGATCTACATCCGGTCACCGAATGAAATAAACAAGATTACATCTGACTATTACTACTACTTATAATAATAATAATAATACAATGTGTGTAAATGCAATATTAAAACCACATATACATAGTAGTAATAAAATTTGCATATATTATTTGTTTATTATTGTGTGCGTATGTAATTATGTTCATTTACAATTTCTTTTTTCTTGATTTTTTTTTTCGGATATTGTATTACAATAACGACAACAACTGATATCTTTGACGATTTCCGCTTCAACGCTTACTTTCTTTACCATCGATGTGATATAATTAGCCGTAAATAATATTGAAAATCACGTGAAGGAATAGGAAATAAACGAATAACGTAAGTTACTATATTTATATTGGTACATATGATATATTTGTTTATTTATGAGTGTTATTAACGATTGATAGATAGTTAACACTGATACATTTATATGTATATATATATTGTGCATATTGGTGTGTATGTAAGTATGTATGTAGATGACAGTTTTTCATTTATATACGCGGAAGTGGATAAATAATCCGGTAGAAATTTTTCTCGTAAAAACCTAAAAATGTATTTCATTGACTCCAAAGAAATGATGATCATTATCTGATTGCTAGAATTAGCTTTGATTTCCTCGAATGTATGAGCAATACGTAGTATTAGTGGTACGTTGATGCTTAGAACCACTGAACAGTTCATTAAATAATTTTTCCTTTAAACAGACAAGTATATGATAACTGTAAATTTTCAAGTTTTTAATATTTGTCAGTTTCAACTAAACTGGCCTTTACTTTTCTTTTCAATTGATGATCAAACACAATTATTGAACATTAAATAAATAAATCGTTTACCATATAGGTGTCTTTTTAAGCAACACTAAGTTTAAATAATATAAACGACCGTCTTTTCTCACATGGGGTGAAGTAAAACAACACAACCACCAACAACAACACAGGATTGAATGATAACCGATACTTATTCAGGTTATTCAGATGGAGTGGATTTACACTGTTTTAATACTTGATCAAATGGATTCCTTTTCGTTATCATAGTAACTACTTAAGTTTAATAGGGCAAAAGGGTTTTTGGTTTTAGATCTATAATTTACTTAACATTTTTAATCATCAATTACTCTTATCAATTATTTAACATTTGATGGCTTAAAACTTCATGAAACATGATAAATTTGACAAAATGATTATCATTTCGAAAACAAACAAATATATTGATTTTTCTCTTGGAAAGTAATTTACTACTTACTTTTACTTACTTACGCTTGTTAATCCTAATGGAGCATAGGCCACCGATCAGCATTCTCCAACACACTCTGTCCTGGGCATTCTTTTCTAATTCCATCCAATTCTTGTTCATTTTTCTCATGTCTATCTCCATTTCCCGGCGTAATGTGTTCTTTGGTCTTCCTCTTTTCCTTTCGCCTTGAGGATTCCATGTGAGGGCTTGTCTTGTGACGCAGTTGGGTGCTTTCCTCAATGTGTGTCCTATCCACTTCCAGCGCTTCTTCCTAATTTCTTCCTCAGCTGGGATCTGGTTTGTTATCTCACACAGTTGGTTGTTGCTAATAGTGTTCGGCCAACGGATTCGAAGTATTTTGCGTAGACAAATGTTAATAAACACCTATATCTTCTGGATTATGGCTTTCGTAGTTCTCCAATTTACTACTTACTTGTTAATAATCTTTTGAGCTATGAATTAATAAATTACATAATCACTACAAAGAATTTAAGAGTTAATATCTTTGAACAAATGAATTTGTTTTAATAACTCATTAATGAATATACAATAATATAATGTAAGAAATTTGTAGCTCAATTATAACTTGTGAATGAAAGAGTTTATCATAGATTTAGCTGAATTAAAATAGCATAGAATATCTATGTATGGAAGCATTATCGTAACTGACCTTCATTACATTTAGATATTTTCGAAACAATTATTCTAAAAGTTACTGAAGTGTTTTTTTCTCTCAGTTCAATCATTGTTCTAATTTCATATCCTCATTTCTAAGATTGATATATTTTTCAACATAAACTCATTAAATGTTTCTATTGTGACATTAAAAATACAAGTGAAGCAAAGAATAATCTCATATACATAGTTTCAATTATCATTTTGATGAAAGCAAGAGTAAACATTCTAGCAGAATAGCATGAATTCATCCTCGTCAGCTAATTATAACATGAAGGAAATCAGTCGGAATTTATTTTGAAGACATCAATATAGTACAGTATAGTATTTATTTATGTACACCCCTGCTAAACTATACTGATGTATCATTAAAATAACTTCCAACTGACATTTTTCATGTTAACGAGAAAAAAACGGAATGAAAAGAAGAATAATCAATACATTTCTCTTTAAACATCAATATGTCCCGATAATCGCTAACTTGTGTGATTGATATAAATTTTTTATTCATAAAGCTTTTTATTTTTCTGTTGTCGGCTATTACAAATTGATATTTTGTTTTTTCGTCTTCTAAATTCTGAACGTTATCTACTTCTGCTTTTATGCCCTAATCTCTACACATATCAAATAAATGAATAGTTGTTGGTTGGTGGTATATTGCAGAGTTCATCTGTCATATTGATTGTCGATATCACTCACAGTTAGGAAATTTATAAGATGATTGATTGTATTTCCATACATTACACCATTACATTATGAGTTACTCAAGGTCATGGATCGATTGAGTTTAGACATTAATACCATTGGATGCTGGCTCAGTAGTCTGGAGGTTAAGCGTTCTCACGCCAGACCGAAGACCTTGGGTTCGAGTTCCGCGTGCTGCGTCATGGATGTTCTCTGCTGAGAAGTCCCATACCAGGACGAAACTCCCGTCCAGTACTTCCAAGTTTAGATTACAAGAGTGGTTCGATTTATATAACTCTCTATTATATACTAATGGATTAAATATTTTGGGTTTTGTATTACCGTTGTACATCTGGCCAATAGGGTTTTAAGATTAACTTTCACGCTTAACTGTGTGGTACTCAAAGTTAAAGATACACTCACTTAAACAATATTATTTCGAACAAGTTCACTTGAAAACTTTGTTTTTATAACACTACTACTATCATTTATAAGTAGTTTGATTATTTAGAAACTGTAGGTTGGCGAAACAAATATCGTGAAATATTTGTGACTCGACAATTCAATATTAATGTTTAATACTTAAGTTAAGATATTGGTTAGAAGATGTCTTATTATGAATAGATTTATAACTTTGTTTTCTAGTAACAAAATCCTGTTATTATGTTTATCAGTGTATGTCTGTGGGATATTTAATTGATTTGTTCCTAGTACTTCAACCCTGAATCAGACGACGTGTAATGTGAAACCTAAAGACTGTTGATTTGGATTTACCTGACATTGCAAATAAATCGAAACTATATTTGAATACATTGCTTATCATATAATTTACTTACAGTCAGATTAGTATAAATAATTTACGATATAAGCACATATTTACCAGATCATAGAGTTAAATATTTATAACCAATAGATATAACTAATTGACTAGGTCATGTAATTATTCCTCCTAAAAATGTCACAGAGAATCAGTTACATAATTCCATCGCAATCGAATCGATTAAGTAAATGTTCAACATAACACCTTTCACAAAATATAAACAGTTGTCTTAGTGAACATACATTTCATCACGAATTGATGTTATGTGTTGAACCACTGAAAATCAGATAACATTTAGAAACATTTTCATTATGAATTGTATATTCAGTCAAGTTGAAATTGCATTATTACATGATGATCGTTGACTAAAGTAGTAGATATAAACTGTTTAAAATCGACTAGTGTAATGGATCTAGTCCTGTATAGAGGTATTATAGATACACGCTACACAGAAATAAAAAAATTAGGACAAAGCAGCTGCTATTTCATGCATATAATGCGCATAACTGTTATTAGATCACTTGTTAAAAGTGGATCAATCAATTTACCGGCCTGTAAGTGTATTACTCCCATATAACATTTTAATCGAATAATTTCCGATCATCAAAATTATATTTGAATACCAAAATCAGTTTTACTTTATTTCTTTTTGTCAAGGCAAACAATTTATGAGCACAGGTATCATAGAGTAGACGTTTTTATGTTTTCCTTCGCTGACTTCTAAAATTTTCATATTTTCAGTTCATTTTTAATATCGAAATATGGATTTAAAAAATGGGGATTCTGAGAACTGAGCAATATTTCTGATACATAATAGGACATAAC